CAGACGGCATTGCGCCGGGCGAGCGGGCGGGGGGACGAGTGCGTGCCCACGCCCCCGGCCGTCATCATGTCCCACCAGGTTGAGAGGGTGCCCCCGCTGAGTCGGCGGCCGGGGCGGGGGGGGGGGGGTGCCGACTTGGCCTTCTCTTTGGGCGTCCGCCCCGGGCGGGGCCATGCCAGCCGATGAGTCTTTCTTCCGGGAAAGTGTGGCTCCCGTGTGCTGCCCGGGCCGGTGGCGGCCGGACCCCGGGCCGAAGACAGGCCCAAAATCGGGGCCAAGGCGAGGCGTCCGCGCGTGCACGCCGCCCCCGCTTGCCATATGACTGTCCCCCCCCCCCCCTCGCCAGGCTAGTCATGTCGTTTCCGGGCGTTCCGGGGTTCCCGGGGCCGATTGTCGCGGCCCGTGTCATGACGCCCCGGCCGGGCACGGGAGAGCATGCGCGCCCAGTCACCGCGCACGCACACGCGCGCGGACAGAGCCGAGGTCCCGCGGCCCGGCGCGCCTGGGCAGGCGGGCCGCGCCCGGGGACCCCTCCCAGGCCGGGGTGCTTAGATAACACCCCCCGCCCCGGGGGCCGGTCGATAGACGCCAGCTCCGCCGCCGGGATCTGGGCGGACAGAGGGGCTGGTCTCCAGCAGAATGGAATGTGTCCCTGCCCCTTCGCCGGCGGCGGATGCGATCTAACGTTCCGCCGCCGCCCCCCGGGGCCCGAGGGCTGCCGCTCGGGCACGGACGCGGTGCCGGGCTTCCCTCCGGTCTCTGAGGTCTTACGTATGGGGGTGGGGGGGGGGGGGGCCGCCCTGTGCGCCCGGTTGCCTTTGCTGCTCCCCACGGGCCGGGCCGCCGGACTGGGCAGGCTCCGGCGTGTGCATGTGTGCCGGCCGATCGGGGCGAGGACGCCGGTGGGTTTGTTATTCTTTGCCGGCGGCTGATTGTGGGTGTGCCGCGCGCCGGCCGTGCGCTTCGTCCCCCCAGTGCGAGAGATGTCCCCCGGGCGCGCGCGCGCGCGAGGTGCCGCCGCGCCCCAATATATCCGGCCTGCCGGGATGACGCTCGCCCGGGGTGTCTCCCCCGCCGGCCTGGGGCGAGCCGGGACCAGCGGGGGGTGTCAAGTCGCGCGAGCCCCGGTGTCCGGGAGGCGGGGCGCCCCCCTCCGGGCTGCCTTCGTGCCTGTGGTGGGTACGCCCCTTCGGCCGTCACGCGTCCTCCGCGCTCCCGCCCCCTGGGGGGCCCGGGGACTGCGCGGCTGCGCACCCGCGCTCATGCCAATGGTCGGTCATGCGCCCTCTCGCGCATCAAGGGGCCGGGAGGGGCCGGCGACCGTCTTTTACCCCGGGCCAGCTGTTCGGCCGGGCCGCCGCCTGGGGGAGGGGTGCCGGTACGAGTGTGCCCGAGCGATGAGGTGCCCGAAGCCGGGGAGGGGGGGGGGGGCGAGCGGGAGCCAGCTGGGCTCGCGGCGCCCCGCATATGAGCCTGTTAACACGCGCACACACGCCCATGACACAGGCGCACTCATCATGCACATATATATATATATATGTGTGCGTGTGTGTGTGCGTGCGGGTCGCGGCTCGGCGGCCCCCCGGTCTGCGCAGATCGCGCTGCCCGGCCAAGGTGGCGCGCATCGCCCCGGCGTTGCTCGCGATCGCGGCCTCCCCCGAGCCCCCGCCGAGAGAGGGCCTCCGGGTGAGATCTGCCCCGGGACAATGTGTCGCTTGCTTGCTTGCGCCGGCGCTTCTTCGCCCGGCCCCCCCCCCCTCCCTCCCTCCCCAGGGGGGCTTCCCCCGATCGGGGGGAGGCTGGGTGCATGCCCGCGATGTCTCCCCCCTGGCCCGGGCCGGCCCGGGCCTCGTAGCCAGCGCCCCCGGGGGCTCCCAGTGCACTTGAATGTTTGTTTGTCGCGTCCCGGCGGCGGGGAGGGTCCTCGGTCCGAGATCCGCCTTGCGCGTATCCGGCCGCCTGCGCCGGGCGGCGGGGAGACCGGGAGCCGAGGAGAGCCCGGGCTGCCGGGGAGGGAGAATGCCCCGGTGGTGGGGGCGGTGGCCAGCACCACCGGGGCCCGGCGCACACCGTGCCCGGTCATCCTGCGGCTGCGGGCGTGCCCCCCCTCCCCACCTCCCGGGCGGAGGCCCGGGGACCGGGGACGATTCTTCGGCCAGGCCGGCGCCCCCCCCCATGCCGTGCGCCGGCCAGCAACATATGCAAACCCTCTGCACCCGTTTCCCCCCCCTCTCTGTCTCTTCCCAAATCGAGTCTCCCCCCTTCCCCCTACCCGCCTCTTCGCCCTACCTGTGCGTCTCCCGCGTCTCCCGCGTCTGCCTGCCTGCCTGCATGCATGCATCCCCCTCTCTTCTCCCTGTCTCACATGCCCCGGCCCAACCGCCAGTCCGCCCCACCATGATCCGCCAGGCCCTGCACTTTAGCCTCCGCAGCAGAACCCCGCCCGGGGCGCTGCATGCGACCGCCAGCGCTGCCTTCAAACTCGCCGCCGCCCCCCGGCGCCACCTGTCGACGGACCCCTGCGCGCCGCCTCCCCCGACGGCCGCCGAGAATGCCGCCTACCGGGCCCCCTCCAAGGTGTTCCCCAACGCGGCGGCCACCCTGCAGGGCGTGCTGAAGGACGGCCAGACCGTCCTGATGGGCGGCTTCGGCGTCAATGCCATCCCCGAGCACCTGATTGATGCGGTGCAGAAGACCGGCGTCAAGGACCTGGTGGTGGTGTCGAACAATGCCGGCGTGGCGGACTTCGGCATCGGCAAGCTGATGCAGTCGCGCCAGCTCCGGCGCATGATCGCCAGCTACGTCGGCGAGAACAAGCTCTTCGAGGAGCTCTACATGAATGGCGAGCTGGAGGTGGAGCTCACGCCGCAGGTGCGCGCTTGCCTGTCCGCTTTTTGCCGAGGCCGCCCCCATCCCGGGGTTGCCTCCTCCCCATCCCGGGGTTGCCTCCTCCCCATCCCGGGGTTCCCGCCTCCCCTCCCCCGGGGTGCCCCCCCCACACCGCGGGGTTGCCCCCCCCCTCCCCGGGGCGTCCCCCCCCCCTCCCTCCCCCCCCCCGCCTTTCCCTGTCTGGCCCTCGCCGCACTCCGGCCCGTGCACACGCCTCCGCACACACTCACACACTTTCTCCCTCTCTTTCACGCACGCACACGCACAAATCATTAAAAAAAAAAAAAACAAACATGGCCCCTGCCACAGGGCACCCTGGCCGAGCGCCTGCGCGCCGCCGGCGCCGGCATCCCGGCCTTCTACACCCCCACCGGAAATGCGACCCTGCACCAGCGCGGGGGGATCCCCATCAAGTTCGCCGCCGGCGGGGGGGCCGTCGAGATCGCCTCGGAGCCGCGCGAGGTCCGGACCTTCGGCAACCGGTCGTATGTGCTGGAGCACTCGCTGCCCGGCGATGTGGCCCTCATCAAGGCCTGGAAGGCCGACACCCTGGGGAACTTGGTCTTCCGCGGGGTGACCGCCAACTTCAATGGGCCCTGTGCCCGGGCGGCGCGCATCTGCATCGCCGAGGTGGAGGAGATCGTGGAGCCCGGCCAGCTGGACCCGAATGAGATCCACGTGCCGGGGATCTATGTTCACCGGGTCTTCCGCGGGGACAACTTCATCAAGCCCATCGAGAAGCTGCGCTACCACACGGAGAAGGCCCCGGCCACCACGCCGGCGGAGAAGATGCGCGAGCGCATCGCCCGTCGCGCGGCCAAGGAGCTCCGCGATGGCATGTACGTCAACCTGGGCATCGGCATGCCGACGCGCGTGCCGAACTACGTGCCCGAGGGGGTCCATGTGCTCCTGCAGTCGGAGAACGGCTGTCTGGGTCTGGTGCGTGTGTTCTGGCCGGCTTTTTCCTCCCCTTTCTTTTTTTCTGCCCTGCATGTGTGTGTGTGCGTGCCTGTTGCGGGAGGGTCTCCCTCCCGCTCGGCCGCTGCCCCTGGGGGCGCCGCACCTGCCTCCTTCTCCGCTCGGCCCCTTGGCGTGTGTCGCTCGCTCGCACACACACACACACACACACACACACACACACACACACACACACACACACACACACACACACACACACGCGTTTGCTGACAGGTGGTGCTCTTTCGTCCCCCCCCGGTCCGCCGGTCGGCCCGGATGCAACACAGGGCCCCTACCCCCACCCCGGCGAGGAGGACCCGGACATCATCAACGCCGGCAAGGAGTCCGTCACGCTGATCCCCGGCGCCAGCGCCTTCGATTCGGCCGAGTCCTTCGGCATGATCCGCGCCGGCAAGCTGGACATCACCATCCTCGGTGGCATGGAGGTCAGCCCGCGCGGTGACCTGGCCAATTGGGTGGTCCCGGGCGCCATGGTGAAGGGCATGGGCGGGGCCATGGACTTGGTGTCCTCCGGCAGCCGGGTGGTCGTGTGCATGGAGCACACCACCCGCGCCGGCACGTCGAAGGTGGTGCCGGAGTGCACGCTGCCCATCACCGGGGCCGGGGTCGTCAGCCGGCTGATCACCGAGCTGGCTGTCTTCGACATCGACCGCAAGCAGGGGGGCTTCATCCTGCGCGAGCTGGCCCCCGGGGTGACCCTGGAGGAGGTCCGTGCCAAGACCGCCGCGCCCTTCCGCCTGCCGGAGGGGTGTTCCTCGGTGCCCCACTGGGAGGAGTGAGGCCGGCGCTGCCCGCACCCGGGCGGCCGGCCAGTCTGCCGGTCGTCTGTGTTGTTTTGCCTCCCCCCCCCCTCCCCGCCGGCGCCATGCTCGGCGCCATGCTCCGTCTCCCCCTTTTGTGGATGTGCGCCGACGCACGCACGCACGCACACACACATCCTTCAGAAAGACCGCACCGAAATAAAAGCCAACTACAGTTCTCCGGACGAGTGTCCTGTTGCGTGCGCGGTGGCGCGGTCGAAACGCGGAAAAGGGCCTGGCGGGAGGGGGGGAGGAGGGGAGGGGGAAGGGAGGGAGAGGGAGGGAGGGACAGGGAGAGCCCGGCAGGAGAAAGTGGACCCGGCAGGAGAAAGTGGGCCCGGCAGAGGAAGATGGACCCCTGGGCGCCAGGCCGGACGCGCGCGGGCGCTGAGATCGCGCCCCCCCCCCCCCC